AGTCGAATATGACATACAGTGGGGTGATGGTAGTTTGAAGTCAGAAGTCAATTGCCAGTTAATAGACTTTTTGCCGTATGAGTTTATGTTGCCCAGGGTGCACCGCGTGGAGGTAAGTCTATTGCACATCCCATATAGTTGAGGCTTAATTAGTATTAAATGGACTTTAGGCCATCTGATAGCCATAAAGGTGTTTCTTCATTTCACCAATCAATTCATGGAAAATAAACAACAAGATTATTGAAAAAAACTTGTGATTGGTATCTCTTCTTGAGGCTTATGAATTTGTGTATGCACGCGACTCATATGGAGTGTCAATAAATCACATGACCAACCCATGTCGGTCATTCTAATTGGCAACAGAATATCAGTTCCTAGTCACCGAGAGTCCACTTCTAAAGATCTGTGTTTATAAATAATTCACTTCAGTAAAAGTTAATTCATTGAAATGTCATTAATGCGCATCAACTGAATGGAATACCTATCTACACTAGACTAACTCAACTAATTAAACAAGCTCTCAAATATCCTCCAAATTTAAAGGAAGCGTCTAGTTGGAAGCTCCAGTTGATATTCATGCTTACGTGCAAGCGTGCATTAATAAGTACAAGATCGAGCGATCAGTCATCCATGAAGTTTTAATGGAATTGAATCACATTGAATAGTCTTGTGCTAAAACCATCGGAGAACCTTTCCTAAATTGAACTTCACTCCAAATACTTGCTTTTATTTATCTCTTTTCGTTATCTCCTTTTCACCACACTCCATTCTTTGTAGGTGGTTCGAACCGAAGCCTACTTAATAAATCCACTGACCTGCTTCCTGTTGAAACGAGCTCTCGAGTGTCCCACTCAAATTGGACTTCGACTCTGCTGGCACCTTCGATCTCAACTGGATAATGCAGACGCCCGGCTACGGTTCAGTCTCATTTTGGATGCACTGTGTCGGGGATTTGGTCCGCAATTACTCCTCTTCATTCATGAGCAAGTGAATGCCCTTCATCGACTCACTGGTCTGGCTATTTCTGTGAAGGTGAGTGAACGGAAAGCTTCATTTCTCCAATGTAGGTGGAATAGATATGTAGTTAATTCTTTGAAGAAGGAATTGGAGTGCTTGGCTTGGAGTCTGCAGAGCCCTACTCCATCCCAATTATCTCATTTTATTTCTTCATCAGCGAGCATGCCAAAATTGTCAATGAATGCCCAAATGTTCTTCCCCAATGCACTTAGCTTTTAAGTGAGGGCTTCACTTCTCCTATTTCAGCGCTTTCCGGAGGAGGAAGAGCAACGAACCTTTTTTAAGTCTCAACTCCTTCGAAGTGATGTGCGCTACGATTTGGGTGATATTCTCTCACCACTTCGTTTCTCCATCAAACTTGGTCCCGTCGTGGAACAACAATGCACCGTCAAGCGTTCTAAAAAACGTCCTCTGTGGATTGTATGGGCCAATCCTGACAATCTCGGCATTCACCATCACAAACTTCATCAACTCCTTTTCAAACACGGGGACGATCTACGCCAAGATATGCTCACACTTCAACTCCTTCGAGTTATGGATCATATCTGGAAAGATGAAGGCTTGAATTTGGACCTCACAATATACGATTGTCTCTCCACGGGTGAAGATATGGGCCTAATAGAAGTTGTTCGACACTCCCAGACAATCATGTCCATTCAAGGACAACGAGTGCGTTCAGCGATGCAGATTGACTCAAGCCAGCTTCACAAGTGGTTCTTGCAAAAGAAAGTACCTCCGCTTGGTTCTGAGAAGATCTACGAAGAGGCGATTCGTCGATTTACAAATAGTTGTGCAGGCTATTGTGTTGCCACTTTTGTGTTGGGTATCAGGGATCGACACAATGATAACATTATGGTGGATGACTCCGGACGGCTGTTTCACATTGACTTTGGACACATTTTGAACAACAAGAAAAAGAAGTTTGGAATTACGCGGGAGAGGGTGCCGTTTGTTCTCACCAGTGATTTTGCCTGTGTTATTGCCCGAGGTTAGTCTTAATTTGATAATTAACTCTTTATGAGGAAGGGATTAGGTCAAATGTGGGGAGTTAATCGCCCTTTAAAGAAGACTTCACTAGACTATCAGTCATTCCCCATTCTTTGCGTAGTTGGTATTTACCCAGGAATAAATTTCTGCATTTTTATTAGAGATTTAAGTTATACTTTGAGGATTTGTCCTTTCACTTTAATCCTCGCTTTCCATTTTATTCGCACTAGTGCTAATAAGCACCATAAACTGGGATTAGAAGCTCGCATTTCCGACTCAATTTTAATTGGTTCTTTTGGCACTTACGATTATGCCGTTTAATGTTGAGCACATTTCCGTTAAAGTGGTCAAAAAGACAACAATATTACTTGAAAGTAATATGGGGTGTGTGATAGACTTACCTTCAAGTGGTGCACCCTGAGCAACGTATGCTCATACGGCAAAAAAGTCTATTAACTGGCAGTTGATTTCTCACTTCAAACTACCATCACCTCACTATATGTCATATTCGACTACTTCCATAGTACTCACCTCACCTTTTTTCTACCTATGTGTCTGTCTCTTTTACATCTTTGAAACACTCTACTGTTCCCCCTCCCCTCTCGACTTTTTTCAATTTGATGTACCTCCCTCTCTGTGAGGCCCGAAGTCAACTAAAGGGCTAATGATAACCATCAAGACGCCTGCCATTTGATATAATAACTTGAAAGTAATATTCATCTGGAAATTAATAGAAATGGCAATGGAGTCAGTGGTGGGGAAATGTGGCTTTCTCAAATAGTGAACTTCTAGGGTATTTTCACTCTA